CGGCTGCTCATCGCTCTTACGCTCCTCTCTCTCTCTCTCTCTCTCTGTCTCTGTCTCTTACTTACTTGCTCTTTTGTGTGGCTGGTGCTGGCTGCCTGCTGGGACACCCACCGAGGCCTCCCAGTGTGGCCTGGGCTTCCTCATGGGCTGGCTGGTCTCGAGGGGGAGCGTCCCAGGGAAGGCCAGCAGGTCCTGGAGAGCCGCTTCCCGGCCTGGCCTTCGATGAGGCCGTCACAGTCCATGACAAGCTTGGAAAATGCACTTCCGCAGATTCTGCAGATTCATGGCTGGACAGAGTAGTGGGGGTGAGGAGTGGGAGCCCAGACCGTGCCCCCAGTGCCCAGGCTATAATATGAGCGGGCAGGAGGGGAAATGGCCCATGAGAGGCGGACTGCTGTGGGCCCGAATCACCCCAGCTCTCCACCGTCCGGATAGGACCCTGGACACCCCCAGTTCTCCCCACCATCTGGATGGGACCCACATCACCCCCAGCTCCTCCTGTCCCCATCTAGATGGGACCCAGGCCACCCCCAGCTCCTCTGAGTGCGGGTGGGACCCAGGCTGCCCTCCTTTTTGGGAAAAGGGCAAGGCCTTTTTGCGTTTGTTTGCCTGCTGGAGAGAAGCGTGCTCTGCTAATGAAGCCATGCACAGCAGCTGCAGCTCGCCTGCCCTCCGGCCGCACTCCGAGGAAGGAGCCGCTCCCCTCCGTCCTGGAACCAAGGGAAGATGGAACCCGGGTCCCACGCGCTGGAAAACTCACTGAGCCCAGAGAGAACAGCCTCATGGAAACGGGAGTCGCTTTCTGATGACACAATCCGGAAAACGCCGAGTGACTCTGAGCTGTATTTGTGGAAAGGCTGGGATGCCAAGTCCCAGGGTCAGCTGGAGAATCGTTGCGTAAATGCCCGCAGAAGCCCCTTTACTCACGAAACACTTCCACCTGCGCACTTACATCTTCCAGCACCGAGGATCCTCACCAAGGCTTTTTTCTCTATTTCAGTTTATACGTGAAGCCAAATGAACTGTGTCAGCTAGTTCCGTGGGCTCCGTCAGAACGTGTCAGCTAGTTCTGTGGGCTCCATCAGAACGTGTCAGCTAGTTCCGTGGGCTCCGTCAGAACGTGCCAGTTAGTTCTGTGGGCACCGTCGGAACGCGTGCCAGTTAGTTCTGTGAACACTGTCATGGTGACCCAGACTCTGCATTTCGGTTCCGGCAGAAACCCAAGGCAGGGTAGTCTGCTGGGGGGGGCTGCAGGCAGGCATGGGGGACAGCCAGAGGGCTGCAGATGGGCACCAGGGGGGCTACAGGTGGGCATGGGGGCAGCTGGGGGCTGCAGGTGGGCATTCGGGGTGCTGGGGGGCTGCAGATGGGCACTGGGAGGGGCTGGGGGTCTGCTGGGGAAGCTTCAGGTGGGCACGGGGTGGGGGTCAGTGGGGGGGTGTAGGCAGGGTCGGGGTGGGGGGCTGTGGGGGGCTGCAGGCAGGGTCGGGGTGGGGGGCTGTGGGGGGGCTGCAGGCAGGGTCGGGGTGGGGGGCTGTGGGGGGGCTGCAGGCAGGGTCGGGGTGGGGGGCTGTGGGGGGCTGCAGGCAGGGTCAGGGTGGGGGGCTGTGGGGGGGCCGCAGACAGGGTTGGGGTGGGGGGCTGTGGGGGGGGCTGCAGGCAGGGTTGGCTGGGGGGTCTGCTTTTTGCTTTGGTATAAATGAACATTTAGTCATCTTCTACATAACTTAATTTTTCTGGCATAAATAATTATAAATATGATGTGCTTCACACATGTGATTCCAAATTAGGTTAGTGAGCCAGGATCTGTCTTAGGGATGGATAATTTAAAAGCTGAGGAGAAGACAGTTCCTCAAAAAGTTCAGCATACAATTACCATAATGCCCGAGAGTTCTACCCCCAGAGAATATGCCCCAAAGAACTGAAAACGGGGACTTGAACAAACACCTGAGCACCAGCATTCACAGCAGCTGCCAACAGCCAAGAGGCAGGAGCCACGTGTGTCCAAGAGGCAGGAGCCACGTGTGTCCAAGAGGCAGGAGCCACGTGTGTCCATCAGTTGAGGAAGGACCGACACGGTGGGGTCCCCACTCCTGGAGAACATGACTCAGCCATGAGAAGGGATGAAATGCTGACACCCGCTACGACACGGAGGATCCTTGGACACACGCCACGGGAGACACCACGCACAGACAGCCCCACACTCGTGATTCCACTGATGGGAGCCACCCAACAGGCAAACCCGCAGAGACGGCATTGACCTGCGGTCCAGGGGCCTGCGGGGGGCGGGGAGGAACCCAGGTGTACTCTGGAGGTGACAAGAGAGGTGGTGGCTACACAACCTTGTGAACGCACAAAACACCACGGAACAGTATGTTTTAAAGTGGTCACTTTCATCTTGTGTGAATTTACACTGCTGAAAACCCACGAGTGGGCCAGGGACCTCCCCTGAAGAGGGTCTTTTATCTTGGCCTCGGCCCACTCTGCGCTCAGCCGCCTCCCCACTCTCACTCAGAAGTAACTTGTTAATTTCAACATGGCACGCATCTTTAAAAATGTTCAGGTTGAGACACCCTGCCGGTGATGTCACTGCTGTGGACGCTATGTGGGGGACGTGGCAGAATTACTGGAAACAGCTGATTTTCTGGATCCTTCTCTAGAAGCGGGGCCAGGGTGCGTCCCGGGTGGGGAGCGATGCGCAGTTCTGTGTGGGGAACGCAGGGGAAGGGCCCAGACTGTTCATGTGCTGAGACACCCCCGCCGGGGCCCAGACTGTTCGTATAATGAGACGCTCCTGCCACGGCCCAGACTGTTCGTAGGGGACGCCCCCGCCATGGCCCAGACTGTTCAGAGGGGACACCCTCACCAGGGCCCAGACAGTTCATATGAGACACCGCCCGGCCCAGACTGTTCGTAAAACGAGATGCCCTCACCAGGGCCCAGACTGTTCATATGAGACACCGCCTGGCCCAGACTGTTCATATAACGAGACGCCCCTGCCAGGGCCCAGACTGTTCATAGGGGACGCCCCCGCCAGGGCCCAGACTGTTCATATAATGAGACGCCCCCCGCCAGGGCCCAGAGTGTTCATATAATGAGACGCTCCTGCCACGGCCCAGACTGTTCATAGGGGACGCCCCCGCCAGGGCCTAGACTGTTCATATAACGAGATGCCCCTGCCACGGCCCAGACTGTTCATAGGGAACACCCTCACCAGGGCCCAGACAGTTCATATGAGACACCACCCGGCCCAGACTGTTCGTAAAACGAGATGCCCTCACCAGGGCCCAGACTGTTCATATGAGACACCGCCTGGCCCAGACTGTTCATATAACGAGACGCCCCTGCCAGGGCCCAGACTGTTCATAGGGGATGCCCCCGCCAGGGCCCAGACTGTTCATATAACGAGACGCCCCCACCACGGCCCAGACTGTTCGTGTAGTGAGACGCTCCTCAGGGGCTGGAAGCACACGCATCTGGGTCTTTCCTGGCTGCCCTTGGCTCTGAGGGAAACTTGATCTTTATATTGTTGCGTGCCAGGGTCTCCACTCAGGAGCAAAGCAATCATGGCCTTGTGCATGGCTGTGGCTGCTTTGCCCCTGGCGAAGCGAGTCTCAGAAAACGCCCGTCCTCACAGCTGCCAAGGACTTCGGTCCGAGGACCTCATGCAGAGACCCGGAAGGTGGTCCCACCGCCTCGCGGAGCTGACCTCTCCCAGCTGCCCAGGAAAACGCAGTCTTGAGGGCGGTGCATGTCACTGCCTGACAGCTTCTCCGCCCGACGGGCAGAACCTCTTGCCGGAAATCAGCCCATGGGTGCATTTTTCTAATTACTCAAAATCAACCTAAAAGGCACAGACGCGAAGAGTCACTCAGAGAAGCTCTACCTCTTTTGCAGAAAGCATCATTTTATACATTCACATTTTTGGAACATAATATTCTATTACTGGGGTTGAGGACAGCAAAGGTGGTTTCAAAGTCACTTTGAAAACAAGAAAGAGCTTCCAGCACATTCCGTACGGACAGTTCCGCCTGCTCTCAGCAGAGGGAAGCGACGGGAGCCTGCCAGCCACCTCTCAGTGGAACGGCCCAAGCCTGTTAGGCCCTGACCGGGGCCAGCTGGAGGAGAGCGAGGGCTTAACCGGCCCTCCCCACTTGCTCAGAGTCCAGAGCTCCTGACACCTGCCGTGTCTCCTCCCAGCTCCCCTGGACACCGGCCTCCCGTGCCCTCCTCACGCCGCCCCTCGGGGGCCTTTGACGCTGCCCTCAGGCTTACTTCACACGTTGCCAAGCGCAGAAACCCGCTGGGATAGATGCCCACTAACTGCCTCAGGTGGTGATGGCTTCTTCAGTCCTTTAACTCAAGCCACCCACCTCGGAGCAAAAAAGATCGGAATCCTTGTATTTTATAAAGTTCTAAAAGAAAACTGTTTCTGAAAGACAAGAACAGTAATTACTGTAAAAGTTCCAACCTTCATGCTTTGACTAATGGCCAGATAATACTTTCCCACCCGAACGTCAAGTAGGAAACCCGGGTGGGGAAAGCGGAAGAGCAGCTCAAAAGTGGAAGAGCCATGAGAACCTGTGGTTTCTGTACACGCATTCCCTGCCAGATGATTGTCAAATGGCGTGTGACTGTGTGTGTGGCCACAGCCTCGCCCAGGATATTTCTTGGAGCAAAAATATTTGGCACAAGCAGCAGCTTCTTCTCCACCTTGCCCGGGTGAACCTTTCTCAAGTGTGCTGGTCAGAGGGCCTGGGAACTACTGCACATCTCACAAGCTTCTATGGCAAGTTTTCACCTAAACACAGAAGGAAGAGAACAGCTCTCCTGGCAAGGTGCCCTTCCACGGGCGAGTGGCTGGGTCCACACAGCCTTCCCACCGTGAGGCTCGTCTTACAGACAGCCCAAGTACGCGCACACAAACGCACACGAACGCACACTCAAGAACAAAGTGGAATCTTCCACACGGGTCATGAATCACTCGCAGACTGAGCCTGTCCAGCAAAAAAAAAATATGGCTTTATTGGATCCATTTCCTAACTACAAAGACAGCTGACACAAACACCAAACTCTTCCGTCTCGATGACAGTCCGTCAAGGAGAAAGGCTCCATGCAGGTCCCACGGCGCCAGGGGCAGGGCGGGCACCCGGCTGCGGGCGAACGGGGGGCCGCGGCTGTGGGCGAACGTCCTCACAGCTCCGTGCAGCCCCACGGGAGGGCCTGCAGGCTGTTTCTTCCCGCGAGTTACACACAGGAGCAGCAGTCGTGCTGAGCGTGTGCTACAGACGCTCCTTCTGCAGGAGCCTCAGTGACTTCCCAGCTGGCACCTCCAGCCGCAGGTGCAATTCGGGCACTTTCCATGAGGGGGCATTAATTCCTAAGGCACCAGTTCAGGCCAACCGTGTTGTAAAGAAGAAACCATGCTTTTTGGTTATATGGAACAAGAGATCACGGCGAGTCATCATACATAATAAGCAGCTAATTGTACAAAATGCAGTAGCAGAGCCTACACGAACCCATCTGTGAACAGTCCCTAGCCTGGAAACGCTACGCACGCAGCGTGTTGAAGTCGCTGTTGGTATCGGTTTTCTTAGACGAAGCAGAGTGTAAGGCTTCTGTGCAACAATGACCTTATAACTGAACAAATACATTGCACTCCCTTTGCATGTTATTTACAATCAGTCTCTAATTCTGCCGCCTGGTAACCGACAGCTGTTGTGAGTGCCAGCTCCCGGCTCTCTGAAGTCCTCCCTGAACGCACCAGAGGAGAAAACGCCGCCATCTGCTAGAGGCGACGGCCTGGACTCCAGCAGGAGCAGCGGGGTCCTGGAGGCGCAGACGCGCGTTCCCCAGCGGACGCCGGTGACTGCTGACGCGGGAGCGCCGGCCGGGAGAGGCGCGTCACCTCCGCCGTTCATTCACACGTAAGCACATGCCGAGATATGTACATACATGCAGACGCAGGCCCGTCCCGCCACAGGTTTCTGTTTCTGTCCAGTAACCCACGTTGTGCTATTCAACTTACTTGTGCTATGTTCAAAGCCAGGTTAAAAACGAAGATGCCAGCATGCGACCGGGAACGGGAAGCGGCTTAACGGCGCCGCGAGGGAAGCGCAAGACCCAAGAGCTGAGATGACAGACTGGAAGATTCCAGAACGCACTGGATGAGCCAGCAAGATTGTACTTCACGGCCCCAGAAACGTTCCCTACGTCGGAGACTCGGGTGAGGCCCTCTCGAAGCGCCAGCACTGTCTTCATTTGCACAAAGGATAAAGCCTCACGTGAACTGTGTTTACAGCCTCTGCTCCCACAGATGCTCCCACAGTAGCAAATTCAACGCTCAGTTCCATGATGCCCTGATGCTCTGGTTAAATAAGGCACTTCCAGTATTGAACCCCAGGGTGTCAGAGGGCTGGGCTTGGGGTCAGGCTGCCTGTGGGCTGTTCCCGTGACGGCCCTGTGTGGCGGGTCTCCTGTGTCAGCCCAGCCACCTCCCTCTGCTGTCCTGAGATGGTGGCTTCCCTTCCTTGCGGCCTTCCTCCTTGCTGGAGATCCACTTCTTTGAACGTATTCATCTTCAGCTCCTAGCATTCAGTCAGTTGGAGGCTCTGAGTGGTACCAGGTGTGTGTTCAGTGTATTTATTCACAAGTCTTTGTCTGCTGAAGTCGGCACACCCCGCTGAACTGAGTGCTCCCAGGTGGCAACTATGAGTGGGTGCTCGTGCTGGAGAGGTCATTTCGTATTATTTCATTTACTGCAAGAAAACAAAAGTTGAGAAAGTATTAGGGAAACATGCCTCTCCAGCAAGTATCTATAAATACCAAAGAAATGCCCCAGCCCTGCCTCTCATCAGTCGACGCTCACGCCTGTGATAAGGCGTCCCCCCAGGAACCCGTGTTTCCTCCTCGGTCCCGCCCTGGCCTGTGAGTGTCCTGAGCCAGCACCCAGCTGCCTTGGCAGAGAGGTGGGGTCACCGCAGTGGCTGCCCTCATGCGCAGCACGGTGCCAGGCCTGGTGCCAGCTGCGTTGCGGGGAAGGTGTGGTGGGCGTCTCTCCACGGATGGAGTGACGCACAGGTCCACAGCGGCACCTCTGTGGAGGCAGCGCCAGCGCCGCCTGAGCCTCACTCTCAGGCTCTTCCTGAGTTTATTTCCCCCCAGAGGGCGTCCCCGAGTCCCCCACAGGCCGGTGACATTCCCGTCACCTGTGGCTGCTGGCAGATGGAGAGGAAATGAGCTGCACACATCCCTGCTCCACCCACCGCCCGCGCGGCCGCCCGATGGGCGCTGAGATAGGGATGTGCCGCCAGCGCCACGCCTGGTCCCGTCTCCCTCCCAGGCTCTGGGGGGAGGTGCGCTGACGTCACGGAACCGCCCTGGCTGGAGCGCCCCCAGCCCAGATGAGCCCCATGTGTTTCTGCAAAGGCCCCGGCCTGTCTCAGGGAGGCTTCCTGGGGCCATCAGCGGGTGTGCATTTCATCACCCGCTCCCTTCCCCAAATTCCCTTTCAACAACCCCCCCCGACTATTTTTAAGAATAACAATAACAAAACGCAGATGCAGAACCAGGAATTGTGTCATGGGAACCGATAACAGGACGCGCTGGCACCGAGCTCCAGGGGAATCCTGGCTGCACACACCCCGAGGCCGCCTCGCCAGGCCCTGCGGGGTGGGAGACCCGGGCAAAGGTGCCCCACGCGCTTGGCCCCGCTGGCAGCACCCCCTGGCACGAGCCCATGGAGGGCCCCGGCTCCGCCCGGCGGGAGCGCGGCCTCTGCGAAGACACAGGCACACCCGGGGTCCCCCTGGTCCGGGCCCTCAGCCACAGGACGCAGAGGGCCCCGCCCCCGTGTGGAAGGCACCAGAAGGAGCCTGGCTCCCGCCCTCCGTGTGACTCTTCACAGGAGCAGTGACAGGGCCCAGGTGCTCACAGGCTGCCCCGGACCGCGATCAGGACCCAGCTTGTCCCGGAGCACACGGGTGGCTCCTGCGCCATAGGCACATTCCGTGACACCCGGCACAGTGCAGAGGAGGGGGCTCTGCTCCGCGTGGCCGGCACGTCCCCACCGAACGCCCGTGCTGCCGCTTCCTCCCGGTTCTCGCGCCCTCCATGCTGCTGAGTGCAGCCGCCCCTAAATCCCAGGCCCTGCTGTGCTCTGCGCCTGTGCCATGAGATGTGGATGCCCCGAACTGGAGACCAGTTTAACTCCTTTCCCACTGCACGGGTTCAGCCTTGCTGCAAAGAGGCGTCAGCAAAGAGGCAGGAAGAGAAGCCGCTTCCCAGGAGGAGGAGCCAATTCCCAGGAGGAGGAGCACCCTTCCCAGGAGGAGCAGCTTCCCAGGAGGAGCAGCTTCCCAGGAGGAGAAGCAGTCACTTCCCAGGAGGAGCAGCCGCTTCCCAGGAGGAGGAGCAGTCACTTCCCAGGAGGAGCAGCTGCTTCCCAGGAGGAGCAGCCGCTTCCCAGGAGGAGGAGCACCTTCCCAGGAGGCCGCCTCAACGTGGGTTGGGGTTTGTGTAGCTCAGAAAAGGCCCCACCTGTGGGGGAAGGCAGGTGGCCCAATGGCCAGAGAGCACCGGGGTCGGGTCCTCATTCACCCTGCCCAACGGGGCTCCAGAAGAAAAACTCCTGTCAGAACAGGATTGTGGGGTCCAAAGAGGCCTAGATGGTAAACGGGGGAACAGAGGGGCTTATGAGGGAACAGTGAGGCCACGGAGGGGGACAGGGACAGGAGGGAGACACCAGAGGAAGTAAAGGCGGGTGTGGGAGGTGTGGGGGTAATAAAGTGGGTGTGGGGAGGTGTGGGGGTAATAAGGTAGGTGTGGGGGTAATAAGGTGGGTGTGGGGGTAATAAGGCCGGTGTGGGTGGTGAGAGGGGTACTAATGATGAGAGATGGGAGGTCTGAGTCCTCTGCTGAGGGGACATGGTGGCCGACAGTGGCATTCTGGGCACGGTGTCGGAGGCCTGCCCTGCATTCGTGGGTTGGACCGTCTGCGCGGCAGCAGAGATCCGTTGTTCCCTGGACACAGGAGGGGCATCTGCTGAAGGCTGAGAGGGAAATGGGTGGCCATGGGGCTTCCCCTTGCTGCCCACGGGCACCTGAGACCCAGGGGGAGAGTCCGGTGGGGGGTGGGAAGTTCCTCGGCGTGTCCTCTGGCCACCCAGGTTCCCCTGGGGCCACAGCAGCCGATGTTGCTGTCTGCCTCCTCTGCAGTGGCCGCTGAGCTCTGGGAGGGGAGGAAGGCGGCCTGAGGAGGGGCCCACGGGGCCAGCAGCCTGCACCCCACTCCTGTGGCTGGCGGTGCACGCGGCCAACCCTGTCCCAGCACCGGGTCTGGGGTGTCCCCACTATCTTCGACACTGCAGGGATTCACCGCCAGGACTGGAGACCGCCCAGGCACCTCCAGGGCCTTCCCGAGGCCCCACAGAGCAGCTGGCAGAGCGTGGGACAGGCAGCCGATGCCACACATGCACAGGGACGTCCCGCTTAGTCCCACCCCTGCCCCGACGACGGCACAGCAACCAGACCGCAGAGGCTGCGCTGCCCACCTGCCCACGCCTCGGACCTGCACAGAGCCACACCCGCCCGCAGACACGGCCTGTGCCTCACCCTGCGAGCAGGGCCACCGCTCCCCTTCCCCTGCCACGGCAGACCACGGCCATCCTGGGGTCAGCTGAGGCCTGAGGCCGCTGGTGCTGGGCTGAAAGGCGGGTCCCCCCACTCCTTCCCACCACAGGAGCTTCTGACCCATGAGGTCACCCACAGCTGCCCGCTGTGCCCTGTGTTCTGGGGGTGGCTTTCTTGGGCATGGCTGCTGATGACGCCTACGCTTTCCCACAGCAGCTCTCTCTGCTGATAATTTCCATCTTCTTGCTCAGCTTTTCCACAGGCACAAAGGGTTTTTCCCGTGGTAGCATATTTTGAATTGCAGGTAACATGTGACCCTCGAGACATCTTAGCGACCTGAAAGAGGAAACTTGCTTTGCCTAACGTCAGATGTCCCCGCAACAGGATGTGGTGAGCTGTTATACCACACTTTAATTTAATAAGGAGGGTTTTTTCCCTTATATTAGACTTTTCTCAAAAACGCTCCTGAGGTGGAAACTCTTGTTTTTCCTAAGCTCGAGTGTGGCGTCTTGAGTCCTTGCTAAGCCGGTGCGTCCTGGAGGCCACACCCCACTCCCACACTCACACCCACCCTCTACACACATCTGGAATTGAGTGAAGGAGGAAATCAGGATATTTTTAAATACAAAAACTGCCAAGTACAAGGGCGGGCAGGGCTTCCACCTGCATCACCTGTGAATCTCGTCCGCACCCCGCTGGGGTCACGGCTCCCACCAGCTGAGCGTAAACAGGCTGTAGGCGAGACGCCTTTCTCAGTTACATATTGATGCCTTCACATCGCCAGCTTCTTTTTGATCATCATTTTGAAAGAAAGCTGACATTTAAAGTTCACCCTGTCGCGAGCTATCCAAAGCCGATCTCTTAGGTTTCACCAGGGTTTCGCTTCACGACGCTGAGAATGCTGTGAGCCGGCGAGGAGCTTCGAGGTCTGGATGCCCTTCCATGTATCTTGCCCCCTCGCTGCTTGGCTTGGAAGCAAAGTTTTTCTGCATTTCTGAATGCCTGGCTTCTGAAAGCAATGGGGATCTTACATTTTACGGAATGAGCAAGCTACCCATTTCCCAGCCGCCATGCAGCCCTCCCGGCCCTCTGGGCACCTGAGTCTGCTCCTCCCAACAGTCCCAGGAGGGACAAAGGCAGGCACTGTGGTCACCTGTTCTGTCCATGGGGACCACGGAAGGCTCAGAAAGTAGGAACGGCAGCCTGGGACCCTACAACTCACGGGGCGGGGCTGACCCTCACCGGGGTCTGAGTTTGGCCGACTATGCTGGGTCCTGCACTGCTGCCGGCCCCCGATGCCCCCAGATGGCCACCTGGGGCCCCAGAGCTGACGGGGTTGGGGTCTGAGCTCGGCCGACTGTGCTGGGTCCTGGGACTGCCACCTGACCTGCATCCGCCCACATGGCCGCCTGAGGCTCCACTGGACAAGCCGCAGTGTGAGGCGTGAGTTTCTTCCTTCATCCTTAGTCGGGAAGTCGTGGGAAGCTGGAATGGGACTCCTGGCTGGTGCCTGGGGGTGACTCAGACCTTAGGACAGCAGGGTTCCCTGGTGTGTACCGTCCCCTCTTCTGCAAAGCTGCCACACCCCATCCCTTCGCTCTCTGGTCCTCCCCGTTTCAGTGCAGGGTGGCCTGGAACTTGGCCGGTCTGAGGTAAGGGAAGGCGGGGGCGGGTGACTTTACTGCTACTTTGCTTTCCCACTGTGTGCGCCTTTAACACAAGCAAAACACACACACACACACCAGCAGACACCCCCTACGCATACACCAGCAGACACACACCCCCAGAGCAGCAGACACACCCACACACACCAGTGGACACCCCCCCACACCAGCAGACACACCCACACACACCAGTGGACACACCCACACACACCAGCAGACACACCCACACACACCAGCAGACACACCCACACACACACACAGCAGCGCACACCCCCTCACACCAGCAGACACACCCCCTCACACACACAGCAGACACACCCACACACACACACCAGCAGACACACCCACACACACCAGCAGACACACCCCCCACACACACCAGCAGACACACCCACACACACCAGCAGACACACCCCCCACACACACCAGCAGACACACCCACACACATCAGCAGACACACCCCC